TTTGAATTGTTATTATTGTTTTTGTTATTAGAATTAGCTCATAGAGATTAGGTGGGTGCGAAAGTGTAGCTGATATATTTGTTCGAATTGGCTACGAAAGTCAAAGAAGAATAAAGAAGACTTATGTATAAGACGTCTTGCTATGCACAAATGAATTTATCAGCAGAACACCAGACACCAGATGAGCTCTGTCGCACTGCGGCACTTGTTCTTTTCGTCTCGCTCTGATAAAAATGGAAAAGCAAAGCGACATTTCAACATTGTTTGTATTACAACTCTTGCGTTTCTGCCTAAGAACCCCCGTTATCACATCATGCGACTCGTATGTGTACAAGCGCACCCATTTTGTTTCCCAATCAGTAATCTGAAGTTGATAACGTACACAGTACACAGAGTTATGATAACAGCATTCACTTACCTATTATATAGTTGTTACATTTTGATATGTCTAAGTAGAGTGCACGTCACATCGTTACCAACTTGTCTATTTATATAAAGTTGTTCAGCCGAATTAGTTCGTACTCGCATAACTAGAGAACTCCGCAGCCTAGAGGAAAACTAAAGATATTTTCAGAATCAGCACGTCTACGGTGGTTCTAGCTGAAACAAAAATTTAAAAAAGTAAAAAATTAAAAAATTAATAAAAATTCTATTCATCAATAGATGGCGGTGCATACAGATTAACATCACGTACGTGTGAATCTATGAGTATACCCTTAACGGGGCAGTGGCCTAATCGCTAGAACATATCCGTCTCCTACACCGGGATTCCGGGTTCGAGTCCCAGCTGGGAACTTATTTTCCCCTTTTTTCCCTTTTTTCCCTTTACTTACTCTTTAGTATGTATTATTTTTACTTTTTTACTTTTAATTTTTACTTTTTATATTTAATGTCTTTTATCTTTTGATTTCTTATTATTTTTTACTGTTTGGGATGGCATGCGATGGCATGGGATGGGATGGGATGGCATGGCATGGCATGGCATGGGATGGGATGCGGTGCGATGGCATGGGATAGGATGGGATGGCATGGCATGGCATGGCATGGCATGGGATGCGGTGCGATGGCATGGGATGCGGTGCGATGGCATGGGATGGGATGGGATGGCATGAGATGGGATGAGATGGGATATGGGATGGAATGGGATGGGATGAGGTGGGATGGGATGGGATGACATGGAATGGGATGGATGGATGGATGGATGGATGCATGGATAGATAGATAGTTAGACTTTTTTGGGTATTTTTCTTTCAACCAAGCGATCACCAACTGAGTAACGCCACTGATTTCCCCGGGCAACGCCGGGTATCCCGCTAGTAACTATATATACTGAGAGAGAGAGAGAGAGAGAGAGAGAGAGAGAGAGAGAGAGAGAGAGAGA